GTCTTTCTTTGGTGTTGATCATCGAATCATCACGTCGCTTTCGTCAAGTCATGTCTTGCACCTGTTGGACTACAAAACAAACACTTGCAAGTTCATTAGTCCAATTTGGTTGTGTTGGTCATCAAACACCAAAATCCAAAGTAAATGGGCCTAGGGTCCATTTTCCTTCTGATATCTTTCAGCATCATATAACCTTGCCCTTTGCATTGCATCCTAGCAAGTAAATATTTTTTAAATTCCAAAATTTTGATTATTTGCTTGTTTTGGTCATGTTGTCATCAATCACCAAAAAGGGGGAGATAGTAAGGAAAATGGACCCTAGGCCCATTTACTTTGCATTTTGGTGTTTGATGACCAACACAACTAAATTGGACTAATGAATTTGTAAGTAATTGTTTTATAGTTCAATAGGGTGCAAGACGTGACTTGGACGAAGGCGACATGATGATCCCACGATCAACACCATCAACAAGACCCTAGAAGCACAAGAGAAGACCCAAGATATCAAGCATAGTCCAAGCACGAAGATAGGAACCAAGCCGGACGCAAGATCGCTAAGAAACGAGCTTCACAGTGGTGACTGGACGCGGTCCTTATAGCGACCGGACGCATCCGATCAAGATGCTCAGCAATAGCAGGCATCAGCAGCAGCGACCGGACGTTGAGGACTAAAAGTGACTCGACGCAATGATGGCACTGCTCATCATCTCGGCAACACGTTCAGCACCGACCGGACGCTGGTGGATAATCGACTCGATGCAGGAACTACAGTGTCCGATCGAGTCCACAGAGGTTCCAGAGCGACGACAGCGTGACTGGACGCGTCTGATCAACAGTGACCGGACTCAGCAGTGCGTCCGATCAACACGCGCACTCCAACGGTCGGGATGACCGGACGCATCCAGTCAGGACGACAGCAGCATCCGGTCAGTAGCAGAAAGCTAGGTTTCGCCCCCAACGGCTACTTTCTCGGTGAGGATTATAAATAGACCCCCCCAACCAGCCATTTTAGATATGGAGAGTTGAGTAAACATACCAAGGGTGTTGATACACCATTTTAGTGATCTCCACTTGCATAGTGCTTAGTGATTCATTAGGTGATTAGCGTAGGTGCTTTGTGAAGTGCTTAGGTTGATTAGACCACCACTTATGTGCTTGCTCTAGGTTTAGGCCTAGTGTTTAGTGAGGTTTGCACACCTCTTACCACTCGGTGCTTGTGCGCACCATTATTGTACACCAGAGGGGCTTGTAGTCTTATGAGATCACACCAACCGCGTTTGTGGTGTGGCCACTACCATATACCGAAGGGAACAAGGCCCGCTGAGGTTCGGCCGGAAGCTTGATAGTGAAGACGGCGTGGAGCGGTCTGAGAGATGCTTGCCGGAAGGCACACCGGAGACCCACTTGCGCGTGGGGAAGGCCCGGGGCTATCCACGGAGTTACCCGACCGGGAGCTTGGCCCTTGCGAGTGTCTCCAACGAGGACTAGGGGGAAGCTTGCGCGCTTCTCGATACCTCGGTAAAAATATTAGAGTCGTCGATGGGAGTTTGCATATCTCTACCTTACTCCTTAGCTTCCGCATTTACATTGTTTGCATAACTCCTTTTGTGGTAGAGATAGCAACACACTAGTAAAACCGTAGTTGCTCATTTAGATAGTTTATCTTTTTGCAACGGTTTTGCTAAGGATAGAAAAAGAGGCCATAGTTTAGAGTTGGAGTTTTGAGTTGCCTAATTTACCCCCCACTTAGGCGTCACTGTCCCTTTCAACCGTGAGTATATTGTGTACTCGCAGAACTTAATTCCAACATATATATTTGGTGGATGAAAAGGGATTAATAGGCATTTGTACATTTGCATAAAAGCATGGCGTTTATTAAGAAATGATATGCTCATGATGCATAATTTATTTTATAACAATATATAATAAGTTTCAAGTGACATTGAGAGTATGGTTAAGTGATCGTCATCATAATTCATCTGATCATCAAGTTTCATCATTAACGCTACACTGAGTCTAGAAGTAAGAACAACCGAAGATTCCGTCCAGAAGGACTTCAGGCTTTCAACCGCAAATGGGGTCGGTGAGCCAAGTACTTGGTGGTGACTCGCTCATCGGGCAGATTCAGCGTGAGAGGTGACGTGGTGTAGATGAGATGTCGTTACATCGGTACCTATTCAAACTATTTGTCGATTTGAGAGCCACATTGAGGAAAGGTTAGAACCATGAGGCAACACCCTTATTTCAAGGGTTGGGCAGCTTAGGCGGAAGCCACGCCACGCACGACCTTGTTATGCGATCATCGATGACACCCTACGACATTGTTTACGTCCTTGGGGGCGTCAATTGTTGATACTTCTTAACGTCAAGTGGAGGAATTCCGCAAGCACATAGAACTATCGTGTAGCACTTCGCTCAGTGAGTACCGAGTGTCAAATTTATTTTTTCCCAAAGGAAGGTGGGAGGCTAATTTATAGATGATCGTTAGGAAAGCTAAAGGAAATATGTGTCCTTAGCTGAAATAGGCGGATGGTAATGTTGTAAATGGATGGGTGAATGAATGGGTGAACTAATAAACAAGCTAAACTAGAGGTAGGATAGCTAGGTGGGAGAGCGAGCAATATCTTAAGTAACAAAGGTAAACTAATTGAATAGGAGGAATTTCTTAGTCCTTTCAGGCTGCCCGCCTACAAATAGTAGGGTTAAATAGACAAGGTGCGCCATAAGCCCTATAATTTAATAACTAGACCTAACATGGTGGAATACAGAGAATGGACAAGGCTGTCACCACTTGCCAACTATCCGGAGGCCTAGCCATATCCACAGGTAATTTATAGCCTAAGCACCTCGCTTAATCTATAAATTTACTACTTTAATCTGAACTCCGATGAAATGGAATCAAAGCATCCTAACCAGACAGTGAAACTGGTACTAACGAATGGCTACTAAACAAATGGTAACCTATGATACTATGATAAGAGCAAGCACCTAAGCTCACTAATGATGAACAATAATGAACAAGTACTTGAACAAAGCAAAGCAACAATACTAAATAAAGTACTAAAAATAAAATCTTGAATAAAGTAAATGCTAAATGAAAGAATTACAAAGGAGCTATACTAGACCCAAAAGACTCTTACGGACTCAAGAAGCTCTGCTCTAGTTCTACTTTCACTCCTAAGCTACTACTCTATAGCTACTCTAAACTAGAGAGCTTGGAGAAGCTTGGAATGCTTGGAATTGGATAGGGCACTTCTCCACCGAGCACCACTGCCTCTTTTATAGTGTCTTGAGGTAGTGGGGGTATTTATAGGCCATCAAGTAAGTCGGTGGAGGTGACTTGGGCGTCGAACGACGTCGAGGGGCGTCGGGCGACGTTGGATTCCACTGCCTTTGCATCATAGGGCCTTGATTAGCTGCCAAAGACGGTTACTTGGATAGCACATGCGAAGATTTGCTCAGGAAATCAGTGGTTAAGTCGGTGGAGCTCCTCAAGTGTATGACGGTGGATCCATGGATCCAAGGCAGCTCCATCTTGGCCCTTGAAGCAAACCGACATTGGATAACGCTAGAGAGGCCTTGTTGAGGCTCTCCCACGGATCAGTGACGTGGCAGGGCCACGTGGGGGGCCGGGCGACGCCACATGGCATCGGTCGATGTGGCCATGTGGGCCCTTGGCCCCCTGCCACGTCCACTTGCCTCCCATGTGTATATTTTGCACCATTTTTGCTAAATTTCCTGCATACAAATAAATCTCCAAGTACAAGTGGAACTAGGTGAATTATAAAGCAAAATCAACGTATGTGATGATGATCTACCTCACATTACTTAACTTTTGGGTGAAATATTGATGGTCAAAAGGGTGTTAGTGACCATCAACATCAATGTAGCCTCCCCGCCCTATAACTTTAGTATTGTCCCTCTTCTTCCGGTGAAAACCTAACTCTAGATATTTGGAGCTGGTTGTGGCGGTGTCAACGATGTCGGCGTCAAATTGATGGGTTTATTTTGAATTATATTGTATAATGGTAGGTAGTGGTAATTTAGATGCAAAACTAGGGGGTTGTTTTATGTATTGTTCATAATAATGATAGAAGTGAATAATTTTTTATGAAACAAAATAGACCCAATGATTATTATTAATGGTGATAGTTAGAGTCTGTCTCTACCAAATACTAGGAAATTTTTTAGATTTTTTTTTCTATAATAGCACTTGCTTGACCGTGTCGTGTGACTCGTGTCCGAGACGGTTTTTTACAACAACCCAGCGAGTTTGCATGCAAATCCCGATCCGTTATGGCTAGGAGTCAGATCCGATCCGAAAATCCTGCGATGGTGTATAAATCGAAGAGTCAAGCATACGTTCTCTAGCCGGCCGGCACAGTATTCGTTGATCCGTCCATCTCTCCGGTGCCCGGCGTGATGCCGCCACGCAGATCCCACCGGAAATCCGTACCACGACGGTTGGCTGTCGTATACCGCCGCCGCCCCCGCCTCGTCGGAGGAAACGTACGCGAAGAATCCGACGACGTCAGTGGCGGCGCGCCTCCATCTCCAACCACTCTGCCCGACGACGTGCTCTTTGGGATCTTCTCCCGCGTCTCGGGCTTCACCGACGCCGCGCGCTGTGCCGCGACGTGCCGCCGCTGGGGCCGCGTAGTGGCCACGCGCGCCGCCCCGATCTCCCGTGCCCTCGCCGCGTAGTGGTCAATTCCTTCCCCACCTCGCGATTGGCGTCTTCCTCCAGCACCAGGAGAACGACGACGTCCGCCGCCGCTGCGCTAGTGGGGGGAACAGCGGGGCAGCTGCGCTTCGTCTCGACGGCATTCGCCTCGCGGCTCCTGGGCCCGTTCGCCGGCAGCGGCGCGCACCTCCTGGGCGAAGGAGGCGCCTCGTTCGACGACGCCCGCCCTGTCGCGTCCCGCAACGGCCTAGTCGTCGTCCTCCAGCTCCGGCGCGAGGCGCGCGCCGACGGCCTCACCCTTTGCGTGTGGAACCCCATGACAGGGGACGTGGCCATGGTCCCAACCCTCTCCGGCAAGGAATTCCCCGGGGACGACTACGCATGCGCGATACTCACCGGCGATGACCTCGACGTGCCGCTCTGCTCGCCGAGTTTCTTCCGCCTACTCATTGTCTACGGTCGCCGAGGCTTCACAGCGCTACGGTCCTTCTCCTCGGACACCGGCAGCTGGGGTCCCGAATGCAAGAAGCCCGGTGCCAAGATCAGCGGCCACGTGCTCCGTCAGCTAGGCCCGGCCGTCGTGCTCCACGGCGTGGCCTACTGGCCCATGAATCGTGCCGCGTTCGGCGTGCGGCTCGGCAGCACGGCGGCAGCGGCGGCGGCGATCATGGACGTGTGCTCGGTGCCATACAGATACAGGTTAACGAACTGGAAGCCGGACGAGTACGTGCTGGGCGTGTCGACGGATGGGAGATTGAATTTTGTGGACATAGGGATTATCGGAGGCCGAGGGGTGCCCATAATTCGCTTCTCAACCTCACTGTGCTTGAGGACGCCGTCGGCTACAAGAGCACCACCACCTCCGTTGATCGAAGTGACGAGGACATCTCCATCGACTTACCCCGGATCAAAGCGACGAGGACAACCCCCATGAAGCCGTGGTGGTTCGGTGAGAAGAGTGGCACGCTCATCTTCACTGTGGAGGAGACGAGCAGCACAAGTGCCGTCTTCGCGTTGAACGTTGCGACGAGATCACTGGAGAAGCTGGCCGATGGCGTTAGCAATCATACGTGCTGCAGAAGACTGTATGGTTATGAGATGGATCGCGCAGCGCTTCTTGCCTCGGTAGCTCCTCAGTAGCATGCCCGTGCGATCTCTCTCCATTGATGTCAAAATTTAAAGATGTTTGTATTTATTTGTCAACAGATTTTTTAGTGCTAAATTTGTCAATTTTTTTTATATGTTTGGTTGAACTTTTGCTTTAACGAGATGCATTGTCAATAGGATATGATATGATACCACCTTCATTCCAAATTATAAGATGCTAATGGAGCCTCCCCGTTCATACTCACAAGTCACAAAACCCACTAGAAAAAAATAGTTAAATCCAAAAAATTCTCACAAAAATTATAAACATTTGGCCAAAAACTTGGCAAATTCTAATCATGATTGTTAATAGGGGCAATTGGATCTGTTCTATTTTCTAAATAATTGTTCACCTTTGCAATTGTTTAAAACAACATAAAGAAACCCATGAATATATATTTAATTTGCCCACCTTTGCCAAAATAACCATGCTTGAAGAGAACCTGTCGTGGTGCATAAACACGAGTTTATGGACTCAGATAAGATTGCCTTCCTGCAAGAAATTACTGGTATCAAACAACAAATGGAGGCTCGGTGGTTAGTCCTTGGGGACTTTAATATGATCTACAGGGTTGAGGATAAAAATAATCAGCTTGTAAATTTTCGGATGCTTAATAGGTTCAAGAACACAATTGACAACTTGCAACTGGCGCCGCTGGCTCTACATGGGCGACGCTTTACATGGTGTAATGAACAACAGGACCCGACGATGACAAAGATCGATCACTTCCTGGCTTCCGCGGAATGGTTAGAGATATTCCCAAGAACAGACCTTCAGGCCATGGCATCCTTAGGATCGGATCACTGCCCCTTGTTCCTGCAAGGTGATATTTCTTTCGACTTCAGCTGGGGGTTCCGTTTTGAGGCACATTGGGTTAACATTCCAGGTTTTTTTTGACGCGGCAAAGACGGCTTGGGAACTTCCGGTCAACACACAAAATGCAATGCTACGCATGCATGTAAAGCTACTGCGAACCGCAAGACACTACGGGAAACAGTGAAAATGCCGAGTGCGTTATGTTTGCCGAGTGTATTATATCGGACACTCGGCAAACGACAGCTTTGCCGAGTGTTTCCTCCGAGACACTCGGCATATTTACGATTTGCCGAGTGTCAACACTTGGCATCCATCAGATACCCGGCATATTTAATATTTGCCGAGTGTCAACACTCGGCCTCTATGGGACACTCGGCAATAACCAACATGTAACCCGCGCGTGCGCCGTCCTAATGGACGGCGTGCCGGCCGTTACTACTTCGCCGAGTGTCTGTTAAAGACACTGGCGAAGTACGTGTTTGCCGAGTGTTTTCTGCCGGCACTCGACGAAGTATATGGGTTTGCCGATTGTTTATGGAGACACTCGGCAAATCCAAAACTATTTTTTCCTCCTCGGCCCTCCACAATTTTTCTACTCCCCACATACGACATTTGGTACTGCATGTTAAAAGTTGGTCTATTTCTTGGTCTATTTGCTATATTTAGTGAATTAATTTCATTTTGAGTAATTTATTGATTTAAGTGAAATTTGAACTGCAAGTGATTGAAATAATAGAATAAAATGAGTGGAAAATCATATTCATGTCATTGAGTCCGGATTGATGTCTCATGCAGGAAATAAAAAGAAAATTTGAATATTTTGATCAGGAAACACGACCACGAACGAGTGTTCGAATGATTTTTAAATTCTACAAAAACCAAACGAAGTCTGAAAATCACGAGATTTGTCAAGATGTCATGATATCATATGTGGAGGTTGTGGTAAAAAATTGAGAATGTTTCGCACAATTTGTGATGTATGATGCTTACAAACGGAAGCATCTCCGGAGAAGATTCGTAGAACTTAGAAGAATCCGGTGTAAGATTTAGAGTCCAAGTGACATGTGAATTGGAGTTTGAGTTCAAAATTTTTGTAAAGGCAATACACAACATAGATTGGTTCTTGTCAAATTTTGACAATTTTTCGGATCCGTTTGACATTTTTTATTTATTAATTGCAATTATATAATTTTAGTTGATATAAATTAATTTTGAGCTGTAACTGCATGAAATAATGAAATAATATTAGTAGAAAAAACAAATATGCATTTTTGAGTGAATTTGACAAGTTTCTTTCAAAATATACAGGAAAAAAGTTACTAAAACCAGCTATTAAAGGTATACATGAAATATTAGCGTAATTTGCCGAGTGTTTCTATATAACACTCGCTAAAGTAGCTCTTTGCCGAGTGTCTTCTACAAAACACTCGGCAAAGTCTGGGTGCTAGCCCACTGCCAGGCGAGTCGACCTTTTGAAAAAATAAAAAAAATAAAAAAGGGGGTATGCTGAGTGCCAGATCGCGGGCACTCAGCATACCCCATAACAGTTAACCTGGCGCGACCCCGCACGCCACACACACATGCACACAACGCACACACGCCACAGACACACGCCACGACCACCCGACCCTGTCCCACCGCGCCCACCGACATCCTCGCCTTCGCTCTATCCCTCGTGGCGCCCGGCGCCCTCCCGGCCCGGAACGTGACCTGCCCCCCGGCGGCCTCCACCCAATGGCGCGCCTCGCCTCGATGTCGCCTCCGGCCTCAAGGCGCCACGCCATCGCGGCTCCACCTGCGGCGCGCCCACCGGGCGTGGCGCCTTCCCGCCCCGACCACGCGCCACGCCCGCCCGGCCGTCCGGTCGCCACGCCAAGGCGCCGTCCTAGGTAATTCTAAAATTTTGTTGTTCTAATTAATTAGAAACGAAATTAGAAATTAGAAATTTGAAAAGCAATTAGAAATTTGAAATTAGCAATTAGAAATTAGGAATTAGAAATTAGAAATTAGCAATTAGAAATTAGTAATTCGAAATTAGAAATTTAAAAAGAAATTCTTAAATTTTTGTTGTTCTAGTTAATTAGAAACGAAATTAGAAATTAGAAAGATGATTTAGAAAATAACTTAGAAATTAGAAATTTGAAAAGCAATTAGAAATTATAAATTATAAAAAGGTAGGATGAATTAGAAAATAGAAAAAAATTAGAAAGTGATAGAAATGGACTTTTTTTAGAGAAGATTGAGAGGTAGTAGGATGTCTATAGAGGTGATATGACTTTTTTTTAGAAATTAGAAAAGGATAAATCGTGAATTATTTGCTTTCTTGTGAAAGTGTGGGGTATTAACCCCTATACCCTTACTCTGCTAAGTTTGGGCTGGGCCGGATCGATGGGTTCGGTCCACCCGAAAGACGACGTATGCCCGATTAACTCTGATCGAGTCCCGCACAAGGAATCAAGGCGGATTTGGTGACCAAGCGAGGATCTTGGTCGGTTAGAATAGGAATCCTTATCCGCCACATATGGCAATTGTAATCGACTAGGATTAGTTTTAGAGATCGTAACCTCGCCCGGACTATATATAAGTGGCGGGGACCCTCTAAAAGACATCTCTCATTTGACATACAGCAATACAAATCAGACACAGGACGTAGGTATTACGCCTTCTTGGCGGCCGAATCTGGATAAAACCTCGTGTCTGTCTTGCGTCACCGTCTTGTTTGGGGCTTACGCATCTGTCTGCCGATAATCTACTACCTTGGGCATACCCCTAGGTAGACTGCCGACCATATTTCGTCGACAGTGGCGCGCCAGGTAGGGGGTGTGCGTACTGCTCTCCAAGCAAACAAGATGGTCATCATCTCCGGCTCCATGGCTACGTCCAACGGCCTCACGTTCACCGCGTCGGCGGATCACACTGGACCACCGGCTCCGATGACTCCATCGCCATGACCACGGAGGAGGCGTGGATTCAACTCGCGCCGACGACTACTTCACGCCGATCGCCTACGGCTCGACCACGGTGAACACGGCTCCGACCACGACGAATACGGCTCCGACCACGATGGATCTGGCTCCGACCACGGTACATCTGGCTCCGACCACGCCTACAGCCACACCGACAACCCGTCATCCGCTTCCCCGCTACAGAGGAAAGCAGATCGACAACACCGACCTGCTCGACTCCATCGATCGGGTCGGCATCAAACTCGCTAAAACCCTAGCTCTGGTAAGTACGATTCATAGCCAACCTAATGAGCAGGTAACAGCTCCCCACAACAGATCTATCCGACCAGCTCGGACCAGTCGTCCTACGCGACTTGGGACAGATCTTGTGGTCGTATCTACTCCTGAGGGGCGCTTCGCTCATCGCCAGCCAACCTTCGCGACGAGTCTCCGACTCTGCGAGTACGAAGTCCCGACGGAGAACCACTAGGTCCAGCCCTACGGCCTGCAAAACGCTGCCTCCAGCTACGCGTACAATCTACGACGCCGCTCGGATCTATGTCCTATACACCGATTTCAGCCGAAGCCATGCAACATCGTCAACATGGTCCGGATTGAAGATTATCAAGAAGGATCCGTCCACACGGTCCGAGAGGGCGACTCCAGCTCCTCATCCGGCATCGCATCCAACGCATCTGTCCACACCGAGCTTCAGCGTCACGAAGATGAAGGCGTCAAATACGATCTGGATCTACCAGACCACGCCCCGGGTTTCCCCCAATTTCCGTCTTTTCCGCCAAGACGAGGGGATTTGATCCATGTTGTCAGCAAAGACGAGCCGCCAACAGTTGGCGAAATAGAACAAGAAAAGACTGCACGCGAAGCACGCAATATTGACCGGTTTAATCGCCGGCAAATCGAAGCTGAAGCAGACCAGGAGGCACGACGCATAAGGGTCCAACCGCGTGACCTCAACAACGCTTTCGACAGGGTGGGGGACAAACAAGTCTTCAAGACCCCAAGCGC